AAACACCACTTCCAGCACTGCATCTGCACAGCTCTATTCCCTTGCTCTGTGCCTGCTGTTTGCACCAGATTCTTGTCTCGGTGTTGCACAGGTCGCTCTGTCCTGCTGGTGTGAACTCAGTTAAAGCCACCTTAGTGCACTCAGACACTCAGTTTTCCTTTCCTTTGCTGCCAGCTGCTGCTTCTTGGTCACCACTTGCTGGCTGAGCATTCTCTATCATCTTAAACACAGTATCTTCTCTGATCATGCTGGACCAGACTTGTTCTTCCTTTAACTCCAATGAGCTTGACTGTAAGCTGAATTCCCATTTCTCTTCCTGGGTGTCTGGCCATACATCTCTTAGGGATTTGCAGTGCCTCACTCACACTTTTTACAAGTCAACCTGCATATTAAGAGCCCCATTCTGAGGGGATTCAACGCACAAACCCAATTCTTACTTCAGGGTTCTTTGCTTCAAAGCAGTGAGTAAACAAATGCTGTATAGAGTTAAGAAATAATTATTCTCAGTTGGAATAATGAAGGGAAAGTCCTGTGGAAACTAGTAATTTTTAAATGCTTATTTATTTAATAGTACCTTTGAATGTGTCTAACAAGTATTTCTGTAGTGGCCTCAAAATATTTCAGAACCTCAGTCCTGCACTGGTGCTAGCAGATGAAAATGTTTTGACAAGATTTGCTGAAGTGAAAGGAATGAACATCAAATGGGAATTGGTTGGCAGAGCGTGGTGTTTCACATGGGTGGTTGAATTAGAGATGGAAAAGTGTTTTTCTGGAGTTTCAGAGGTTTTATGAGCGGTTAAAAAAAACAACAAAACAGCCTACCAACAACTCTGATTTACATAACAGTGGAAAAGAGGAAAATTACTTTTTTCCTCCTATTTTATTCTGTGTTTTTTCAAGCCTAGCAGGGTGTGGCTGGACTGTGTGGAAGGCAGAGTTCCCAGCCCTGCCATACAAAAGCACGTTAGTCATCTGCAAGGAGTGGATAAGGCAGAGCACTGCAGTTATTTGGAGGATGGTTTGATGGTCCCTAACACACAGCTTTTCCCAGCTTTTTTGCAGTATTCAGGGTGTTAATCCCAAATGGTCTGGCCAAATTCCAGCGTGACCAATTCCATTCCATTGACGTAACTTCTCCTGGCAATTTTGAGCATATCAGCATTGCTCACTTATCCTGAGCTATTGTGAGAGGCTGTTTTTAAAAAACAGCTGTTTCACTGGTGGCTGAGGTATCTGGAGAAATTCCTTACAAGCCCAGGCTGAATAACTTTGTGTCTGCTATGGGTTTGAGGTCTTGGAGTACAAAGTGGCCTGCAGGTGACTGAGCTGTGTAAAATTAAATTCATTGAATAGTGTCAGTGTCAGGCAGGAGGCCAATATGTGAGTCTTAAAGAGGGAGAGAGAGCTGCATATACTCTAAAAATGGCCATTTTGTTTAGAGCAGAAAATGCAGGAAATGTGGAATTTCCCCAAGTGCCTCAATCCTATTGGCATTTTCCTGTGTTATTTAGGCTCTTCTGAGATTTCTCAAAATCTTCTTAACAATGTTTAGCCTTTGTTTATTGTTCACCTGTTCTTGGAAAGACATCATAAGAAGTAATGAACTTAGCCTCATGACAGACATCCTTCTGAGGGAGAGAAATGTCTCTTTTGGAAACAGACACATATATGTTGGCTTTGTTACTGCCTTTTGTTGCTGGTGAGATGAATGCTGTCATGGTTAGAAGGGACAAGCCAGAGCAGAAAGTGTTTGGTGCTGACCTAGGCTTCCTTAGGAAATGGGGACTCATCCGTCCTGTCTAAACATTGCAAGACTTGTTTTCCATTTTTTGTCAAAGAGCTGCTGTTAAACCGCACAAAATAGGGGGAAACTGGGAACTCAGCAGCAGGAAAGGAGCAGGAGGTCTATGCTCTGTTAAGATGGTGTTCCTCCAGGGTGCTGTGGAGCTTGGAGTGATGCTGGCATGGGCAGCTTGGCTGCTCCAGAGAGAGGGCAGCACTGGAGAGTGTGGAGCAGCTTTTCCTCTCTGGGGTTGTTTTTTCCTTCACTCTGCATTAACTGAGCTTGCCTCCACCCAACAGGTGGCAAAGCCAGAGTTTAAGTTGTGCCTGTCTGGCCCAGGCTGTGGAAGAGGCAGTCCCTGGTCAGGGGCATTTGGGCTGTGAGTCACAAATGTTACAGGCCCATAAAGGCATCTGCATTTCCAGTGAGAGGGAGAAAGATGTGACAACCTCAACAATATTAGGAGCTGCATCCAACAATCACTTCTGATCAGCAGCATCTGTCCCTCATAGATTTCTCATGAGCACTTTGCTGGGGAAAGCACTGTAAGAGAAATGTTGATTTCTCCATGGGATTGAGGCTGAATGAAGCACTAGGAGGACAAGTTTTATTTCTCGTGCTGTTCTGGCAAACACATGCTGTTAGGAGCTAAATCTCTTAGAATTAGAGGAGCAGGAGATGGGAGAGATCTGTGGTCAGTTTGTTCTCCCAGGTGCTGGGACAGATTTGCTCTTGGAAGCTGCATGCTCCTCTTCAGTGTGAAGTGACTCAACGTGGCAAATGCCTTGCTGTGAGACTTGGCCGATTTTGGCCATTGGGATTTCTTTCCAAGTTAATCCTCTCACTAGGGATTTGCCTGCAGTTCACCTCACAAGCTGCTCAGCAGCTGTGTTTGTTTTCTTCTAGTGCCTTTTACCATGAGAACGTCCAAAAGCTTCTTAGCAGGCAGAACGTTGGTGAGGAGTTGTGCTGTGGTTGTTTGCAGCTCCACCACGGCACTGAGCCAGCCTGGGATGCACACGATCTGCGAGGAACATGCTGCTTCCTGCGGTGCTGGCTGGCTCACCAAGTTCCTAGGACAGTCCCACTCTCAGGATGCTCATCCAGAGCTGCACAGCATCATTTTTGACAGGAAAGGAATGTTTTTCAGTTGAGACTGGAGTAGAACATATTTCATTTGGATTTAAGTTTCTCTTGTGATGTAGAAACTGTAATTGTAGCATTTTGCTGTGTTGCCTGAGTGGATGTTTTGCAGCTGCTTTTTCCTTAAAGCATCCGAGCACAACACGCACAGTGTGTGCCTACCTTTAAGATAAGGTACATTAAATATTTTGTTATGCAGTGTCCAGCTGCAGTTGGTTTATTCCTTTCCTCTCCGTGCCTGTGCTGGACCCCACAGAGAACATTGTGGCTTTCCTGCTGCCTGAAAGGGAGGATAATCAGGGCCCAGAGCATGAAGCAACAGAAGCCATTTGGACTTCCCATCACTGGCTTGTGGGTGCTCCTCAGCCGCAGGCAGAGCTGTACCCTCTGTGTTGGGTATTGCTGTTAAGAACTGCACCAAAAGGGATCAGCCAAGGGGAATTTTTGCAGCCCAGTCCCACTGCTATGTCCTAGAGGGGCTGTGGTAGCCAGACCTGAGCCTCACACCCTCGGTGGGTGAGTTCAGGCTTTGTTTGAATCCAGCCAGGCCATGCAGTGCTACAGAAAATGTTCCCAAACTGTTCGTTCTGTGCTCCCTCAGCCATTCCCTGGTTTCAGCAGCCTGGCTGCTCTGCGGTGAAAGCTTCACCCCCTGCGGAATCTTCCCTTATGAAACAGTTGAGATTTGAGAGGAAAAACGCGAAGCGTGTTATACCATACTCAGCTCTTGTTGCAGTGCGTTGGTTTAGTTCATCTCCCCTGCCCTGACTTTTCTTCTATTAATTTTTTTAAACTACTCGGCTGCAGCCTGCCCTGGCCGGGAGGGAAGGGCGGAATTCACCCGTAGAGCTCCAGGACAGCCCCGCAGGGGAGCGGGGCAGAGGGATGGGTGAGTGCTGCCCGTGACCCACCGGCGGGGCGAGTCGGGAATCGGCGGCCGTGCCCGGGACGGTGTCTGGGGGTGCAGCCTGTGGAAGCCGGGAATTTCCCGAGGAGCAGCCGGCCGTACCTGGCGCTCAGCCCGCCGTGGCCCGGCGCTCGCAGGCGGTGGCGCTGCCGCCGCTCTCCCGCCCGGCCCGGCCCGGCCCTCCCCCGGCTCGGGCGAGGAAATGACCTAAGAGGAAACCTGGGCCGTGCCGGGAGGGCGCGGGGCTCGGGACGTGCCGGCGATGTCCCGGCGGGCGGAGGATACAGCGGGGGCGGCCGGCAGGTCGGTGGAGCTGCGCCCGGCTCCCCCTGCCCTGCCCGGGGCAGCACGGGGCTGCTTTCATCGGGATCCGCCTCTTCTTCCGTCTGGTGGCCCTAGGGCTTGTGCCAGCCGCGGGGCTGGAGCGACGGGAGGCAGCGCGAGAATTCCTGGGGGCTCCGGTGCTCCAGCTGCCCTGGACAAGAGGCGTCTCGGCGCTGGGGGTTCCGCTTGAGGCTCGGCGGGGATGGGATGGGGGTTCCGGGGCTGGTAGAACCCCTGGGGCAGACGCTGTGGGGTGGCAGAGGAGACTCTCTGCTCTTCTCCCTCTCCCTTGTAGTGGTCAGGACTTGTCCAGCCCATACTGCAGATGTGACCCTGCAGATCCACCTGAGCTGGTGGATCACCGGCAGATTGAAAGTGCTGACCCCAACCGCGTCAGCCCGCGGGACGGTTCTTCTAGCAGGGGCCAGTGGCAGAAGAGCAGTCGGTGCCACAGGTGCCACATACCCACTGCTACCAGCCCTTCCGATAAGGTGATGTTGGCAGGAGGGTCTCTAGTGCAGGCGAGACCTGTCTGGCTCGGTGTTCACCCGCTGTGGTTTGCTCTGGGCAGGGCAAAAACGGCCGTGGCCATCGCCGGGAGCCGTGGAACGGGAGCCCCGGGAGAGGCGGCGGCACAGACGCTGCCGGACGGGCTCGGGCGCTTCCCGGAGCGCTCCGGGAGGCTCTGTGCTCTCACCGAGTCCCTGCTGCGGGGAGATGTTGCCGGTGGGACACGGGGCTGCTGCTGATCCCGGGCTGCTCCACTGGCAGTGCAGCATGGCATGAGTGCAGATGCACAGAGAGGAAAGGGCGGCTAGGAAGGTGTTTGCCAAACAGGCACGGCACGGAGGGGCACCCAGCTGCTCGTGAATCCACCTGGGAAAGAAACCTCTGTGCCAGTCTCAGGGTAGGTGAGAGCTTTGGCTGCAGGTGCTCACCCCCATAGGGCTGCTCTCTGCTCTGAGTTACTGTTGTGCTGTGGGTGGGGGGAGTGCCCACAATACCCTGTCCCATGCCCCTAAACTCTCGGGCTTTGATCTGAGTAGGGACCTGTTTCCAGAGAGGGGTGAGTAATGGCCGAGGAATTTCGACGAGCTGGCAAAACTCATTTGGCCGATTGCCTCCTCCTGTTTGTGCTGCCGATCTGGCCATCCCTGTATTTCCATCCAGCAGATCCTGTGTGAGTCAAAGCAAGCCCTTCCTCTCTGTGCCGTGCGTACCCTCTTGCTGTCTTCACTTATCATGAAGCAGAAGAAAATCAGTCTAGAGATTAGTTAGGAGCGCTGCTGCTGCTGCAGAGCAGTGCTTGACTGCAGAGGGATGAGAGAGATGGGAGCTGTTGCTGTTGGGATTTGGCTGCTGAGTTGCTGTGTCATGCTGGGAGCTGAGGGAGCCTGGCTCTGGTGCAGGAGAGGTGCTCTGGTGAGCGTGTGTTGGATGCTTCTGTACTGGCTTTGATTTTTCCCAGATTTTCGTATGAAAGCTACTGAATTGGTGTTTAAAAGGCCCAAGGGAGCAGTGTGTGCCTTCCTGTGATACAGCCACATATATTTTGCATCTGCTTTGCCTGTAGTATGTTTATCATATCAGAAAAATATAAAGGCTTTGAAGATGAAGTTCTATCATCAGCTGGCAGGAGACAAGGATTTAAAAGATGTGGGAATGAGGATTCCCATACATTTAGGGGTGGGGTTGGTGCCCTAATAAAAGAGGAGTTTCCTTGAGGTGGGGAGCTGTGAGTAAACAGCCTGTGCTTTGACACTACCTGGCATGTGCCAAATAGCAAATGGGTGAAGGTTTGCCTCTGTCCAACTAAGCTCTGTGTGCTCCTTCCCCAGGGACTGTCACTAGCTCATCTACTGCCCTGACTCTTGCCTTTGGAGGAAACCAGTCATGGGGGAAACGGGCAAAGAAGAGTACAAAATACAGTCCTTCGACTCCGAGACTCAGAAGCTGCTGAAAACAGCCCTCAAAGGTCAGCAAGCTTTTATGAACTCCTCTGCCACACACGGTTTCTGCAACATTTGACTTGTACTGGGCCCTGCACAGACCTTGGTTGCTTTCCAGGTGCCTCAAAGCAATCAGGTGCCAAAGAGGACTGGGTCCTGACAATATTCCTCTTCTCTGCAGACCCCAGTAATGTGGACCTGGAGAAAGTGGCCAATATTATAGTGGACCAGTCCCTCAAAGACTCTGTGTTCAGCAAGGAGGCTGGGCGCATCTGCTACACCATCATCCAGGTGAGAGGTCATGTCTGGACAGTGAAACATCTGGGCTGCTGTGTGGTTTGTCCCTGGGCTGGGCCAGGCAGGGCTTTGCCCCAGTCACATGCTCTGACCCCTTGCCCATCTCTCCTCTCCTGCCATTTGCCCCATGCACTGGCAGCATCCAGAAGAGCATTGGGACAGCACAGGCAATGAGTTGCAGATTTTCTGCCTCTGGCAATCACAGGAGGGTATCTGTGTGGTACTGCATCCCCCTGCCCCTCTGGACCCGTCTCATCCCTCCATCCTGTCCTGTTTGTGTGGGCTTATAGGCAGAGAGCAAACAGGTTGGCCAGAGCATCTTCCGGAGGAGCCTGCTGAACCGGCTGCAGCAGGAGTACAAGGACAGGGAGGAGCTGCGCACCCGCTCGCTCCAGGCCTGGACCTGCTACGTCACCTTCATCTGCAACATCTTTGACTACCTGAGGGTGAGGAGCTGGAGCAGCTGCCTGGAGTGCCAGGAGGGCCTGGGCATCCCAGGATACCACAGCAAGGGTGTTGGGTGGGTGTTGTAGAGAGCCCCAGGGCCATGGGGGCCAGAGCTGGTTCTTAGCACAAGGATGCTGACTGGTGCTGGTGCTACCTGTGGGCTTGGAGAGGCAGAGGAAGTCTTCAGGAACAGTCACAAAGTCTCAGCTTCTTAATTTTGTACTTGGTGTTTGAAATCCCCTGATTTGCCTGCTCCCAGATGTCCTAGATTGGACTGGTTTAGTTGCTGTGGGGTTTGCTGATGGAGTTTGGCTTCAGGCCTTTGTGCAGTGTGTGAACTTTGAATTCCTGCTTGGAGCAGATGTAAAAACGATGCAAGAGTAGAGCTGCAGGCAGGAAAAACACTGTTGGAACAGCTGTTTTTCCCATTACTACCTTACATTTAAAAATAGATGGTTTTTACATCATTTGTTCAGCTCCTCTGGTTTCTGGAGACTCAAATGTCTGATCTCTGACGTAAATCCCACTAATACAGCACAACTAAATGCTGCTCCCTTCTCCTTTGGAGAGCAGCAAGGGAATAACTACTTTAAATGGCTGCAGAATCTCTTCTGGCCCCAGGCTGACCATGCTCTCCTTGCAGGTGAACAACATGCCCATGATGGCTCTGGTGAACCCTGTGTACGACTGCCTGTTCCGGCTGGCACAGCCTGACAGCCTGCAGAAGGAGGAGGAGGTGAGTGCAGGGAAGAGCTGCTGACGTGCCTGTTGTCCTGCCAAGGACCCGTAAAAAGCACAGCCCGGGGGGTGCAGAGGAGCCTCCATTGCTTTGTGCTCAGCCATCTGCTCTTCCTTCTGAAGGTGGACTGCTTGGTCCTGCAGCTGCACCGCATTGGTGAGCAGCTGGAAAAGATGAATTCCCAGCGGATGGACGAGCTCTTCTCTCTCCTCCGAGATGGTTTCCTTCTGCAGGAGGGGCTTAGCTCCCTGTCCCAGCTCCTGCTGCTGGAGATCATCGAGTTCCGGGCTGCTGAATGGAAGATGACAGACGCTGCCCAGAAATATTATTACAGCGAAGTGACAGATTAACCTCCCATGGCACAGGAGTCCCCAGCACCTTCACCAGCAAGCTTTGTACCAAGTTGGAATTTTTCACATTAATTTTCTAGCACTTCGTGTAAATAGGATTTATACTGGCTAGAGCCTCTCTGCACCTGCTGTCAGATGCAGCTGGTGCTGGTTTGACTTTGGAGGTTCAGAGCGGTGGGAAGGGCACACTTCACCCAGCAAATTCTCCCACCGATTTTGTCTCAATATTGGGCTGCTGCAAGCAAAGGGCTCGGGAGGCTTCTAGCTCACACCAGCATTTTCTATGAGTGTTAAGGAAAGCACAGTTTAGGCTGAGAACATTTTGCTTCACCCCAAAGCCAGCAGAGCTGTGGGAGGCAGCAGGGAAATCTCCCAGCTCAGGTTGTACCTGGTTCTCTGAGACAGGTCACAGAACCCACCATGGCCTCACAAACAGCTCAACCAAGTGCTTTTTTTCCCAGACTACTTCCAGCATGCTGGCTGCACCTGCATGCACACAGCCTGTCCCACAGCCAGGAATACCTGCCACGGGGCAGCTTGCTACAGGAGAGATCCCTGAGCACATGCAGGAACGGGTTTTATAGGTTTTATACAGTAACTGTCACTTTTTTTAGAATTTTGCAGGTTTCGGCTATGGTATATTTCTTATAAAAACAAGAGAGGGAGAAAGGAAATAAAATAGTCTACTGAATGATTTTTTCCTAATAAAAGTTTTCACTAACGTGTGCCCTGCTTTCTCCTTGCACAGCTGCTAAGTAATACTGAAGGGCTGCTCCTGACTGAAGCCCTAAGGGTGTGATAACAGTATCTGCTCCACTCTAGGGCCTCAAGGCTTTACACAAACAGGGTCGTTGGAGCAACAGAGATAAAGGTCTGGAATCGGGAAACCTTTCTCATAAAACTGGTTTTATTTTGTCAACATTCCCATCAAATCTGTGCAAACCATGTTGCTGCTGACCAAAACCAAAAATCAAAAAGGGCCTTTTATTTCCTCTTGTACCAATCCCTGTGGAAGAGGATCCAGCTCTGCAGTCAAAAACACTGCTGATTTGAGGAGCAGAGAGACTTTCAGATCCCCAGGAAACAGGTAAGTGAAAGATGGTTTTGTTTAGCTGAAAGAAAAACATCTAAGGCTTGTCTTCATAGGGAAGTGATTATGAAATAACTGGAGCAGCCCCTGCTGGGGCTGGTAACTCAGATTCCCCCTTCCCCCATCCAAACAAGCACAAAGAAAAACAGCCTTGTGGGGATGGTGTGAGCTTTTCCTGGGTTAGATCAGAAGCTGCCTGCGAGGGATGTTCCACCTCTCCCTCTCCCAGGCTGGCAGCCTGGGGCTCTGCTCTCCAGGCCGTGGCAGCGTGTCCCACGCAGGGTCCCTACCACCAGCGGAAGTGAGCGTACGCCCGGTTGGCCTCTGCCATCTTGTGCAGGACGTGCTTCCTCTTGATGACAGGCCCCTCGTTGTTGAAGGCCAGGAGCAGTTCCTGGGAGAGCTTTTCTGGCATCATTGTCCGGCGGTGTTTGTTCTCCCTGCACTCCGTGATCAACCACTTCATGGCCAGGAAGCGCTTGCGATTGTCCGTCAGCGGGACGGGCACCTGGTTAAACCATGACACTTATCAGACCCTGCTCCTCCCCAGCAGCACCAGCTGGCACCTGCACATGGCCACTGTGCTGCTCTCTGCAGCCAGACCCACTCCTGACAGCTGAGCCCTGCCAGTTCTGCTCTGACTATAGGAACTGGCCACTGCTACCAAAATGGAAATTCTGGCCTGTTTGGGAGGTGGGTCCAGACTGGTTTGAGTCAGCAAAGATGGGAGATGGTCACCCCATCTCTGCACTGAATACAGAAAAGTCACAGAATCAGAGCATGGTTTGGGTTGGAAGGGACTTAAAGAACATCTCATTCTAAATGCCTCCACATCTCACCTCTCCTTCAGGCCCCAAGGGTTGCAGAGCCCATACTCAGAGACAGATTCTGCTTGTGTTTCAAATATCTCACTGGATCTAGGTGACCCATTTTGCCATGCTGACCTGCCCGAGGGGTTTGAGACCTCTCCCCAAGCAACATGGTGCAGTGGAAAGGATGGGACTGGTAGTCCAAGGACTACCAATTCTTTTGCTGCTGATCTCTGCCTCTTCGGGAAATACTTGCTGTATATTTCTCCTCACATCTAGTCAGATAACCAGAGACTGCTGCTGATTAATGGCTGGACTTGATTAATCCCAGAAGTCTTTTCCGACCTTAGTGATTCTGTGACAGGGGAAGCACAATACTCAGAGGTGGGGATCCCGATTTTGGACAGTTTTTAGGTGCTGTTTTATTCCAGATTGCAAAGTGGCTCTTTCCAGGGAGAGATGATCTTGAGCTGATGGGGTGGAAACATCTACCTCCCTAAGTAATTATCTCCCAACCAGATGTGCTCCCAGCCCCCCTTTCACCTGGTAGGTTTTGCCTCCTCTGGTGATGTTGCTAAGCCCGATGATGGGCTGGCAGTTCTTGAGAGCCTGGTGGAAAATTACGTAGGGGTTGCATTCAATTGTCTCCTTCTCATTTTCTGGAGCTTTGTGGTACTTCTCCAGCTGCTTCCTTTTAATGTTCTCCAGAGTCTTGGAAGAAAGACAAGAAAGGAGAAATATAGAGCAGATGGATTCTCCCACTCCATGAGGTTACATCACTTTTACAGACACCCCATTTTCACGTGAGCAGCTGGGACTCCAGACCCAGAGGCAAAAGGCCCATTGGGAATTCTTTAACACAAGTTTTACTTCACCCTCTTCCAGCACTTCAGTCTCCTTTTATCAGCCATTGCATTTTGGGTAAGAGGGATGAGCAGCACAAATGTGGGCCAGAAGTCAGGGAAGGGCAGGGACAAGGTGGAGCCAGGAATAGAGGTGTGTGCACTGAGCATCCTCCCCTGAAAAGCCTGCACTCCAGACCCCAGAGCCCGTGTGCTTCTCTGTAACAAGGAATCAGCAGTTAATTGGGAACATTTGGGCAAAATGTGTTCCCATTTCAAGGGATTTCAAGTGTGGAACAGACCAGGTGAGACCACCAGTTAATACCAGTTGCTGTGGGTCAGAGCAGGCTCAGAGCTGTGTCATGTAGGTGACACATCTGTGGGACGTCAAGGGCAAGTTATACAGAGGGTAAGGCATGACAGAGAGCTGCAATGATGATCTTTAGAGAAAATTATGTTTTTTAAGGGTATACTCTGTATTTATGCAGTACAAAAGGACATAAGGATACTGAAGGATGGAAAGAGAAGGTTCTCCATGAAGCTGCTGTCTGTCACCTGCTGATCTGTGAGCTAACGAGGCTGGGGCAATGTACATTTTATCAAAAAAATCATAGTCTGGAATCATGCTGCGAGCAACATGTGGCAGAGTGAAACACATCAGGATCACAGAGATGGACCACCCAGGTTCTGGTAATTCCCAGTTTCAGTGGGTTTGACATCCCAGCCTTCCATTTTCTCTAGTTTTAACATAATAGTGAGAAGAAACCTGAGTTCTTACCTGAGACATGAGGTTTCTAGCTAGCACTTTATTTCCACTCTTCATCATCATATTGGTGAATTTACTGTAAACACAAAGTCAGATAGGATCTGATATGAATTCTGATTTATCACCCACAGAAATAAGCCTCCCACCCTCATTCCTTTGTGTTATTCCCATGGTTAAATGTGGGTGCTGCCAGATCTGCTGTAATTATCTCTAATCACTGCAGGACAATGAACTCATTGATGGGAAAAGATTAACCCAGAATATAGGGATTGTGCTGTAACAAAGGCAACGTGCAGCCAGCAGGCGAAGGTAGAGGAGGGCAGCACAGCTCTCACGCATTTTTGGAGAGGAGGAGCTGCTTCTTTCTCTGACCTGATCATAGGGTCGCTGAACACGGAACTGGAGAGAGTGGGAGGAGCAGCTTTGATTGGTCGAACAGCCTTAAGCTCCATTTGTTCCCTCTCCTCCTCAGTCAGCTCCTCCAAAGGTCTCTGATACGATTCCTTTTTCACTTCTGGCTCCAGGTAGCTGGGGTCGTAGCGGTTCCATCTCACCGGCATTATCCTGCAAGGAACAAGAGAAGCGGGGCTGTAACCCAGTGCACGTGCTGTGTCGCGACAGGGATGCAGACAGATGTGGACAGATGTGAACACGCCTCAGAAGGACATGCTATATGTGAGAGGCATCACGTGGCAGCGGGCGAGCAGCTCAGTGAGGGATTCTATCCCATTTTTCACTGTTCCTGTGGCCAGGCATTGGAAGCGGCTGCGCAGGGGGGCGGTGGAGTCACCATCCCTGGAGCTGTTCAAGAGGACTCTGCACCTGGGTGATGTGGTTTAGGGATTAGAGCGGCGTTAGTGTTATTAGTGTTGCGTGCACGGTCGGACTCGATGGCCTTAAAGGTCTCTTCCAACCTTGCCAGTTCTATGCCAGTATGAGCCCGGCAGAACAGGCGAGCGGCCTGTCCGTGTGCCCCAGGTGCGGCGCACGCCCTCCTCGCACCCCTCGTGTGCTCCCGGCCCGCCTCCCCCGGGCCTTCCCCCGCGCTGTCCGTGTTCTCGCGGTGAGGAGAAGCCCCCGGGGAGCCCTCCCAGCCCCTGTCCCCGCTCACCGGGGCAGCCAGGCCCGCAGCCGCCGGCCCAGCCCCGCCGCGCTGGGCGCCGCCATCTTCCCTGCGCGCGCCGCCGCGCGGGGCGGGGCCAGCCCGGCTGTGGGCGGGGCCAGGGCCTGCCCCGCCTCCCTCGCGCGGCTCTCGCGCGGGTGGGGCGGGGCCCCGGGTCGCTCCGGCAACATGGCGGAGGCTGAGGGGGAGAGCCTGGAGTCGTGGCTGAGTGAGTACCGCGGGCGTGGGGGCATCGCCCGGCCCCCTCCGGCCTCGCTGCCCCCCGGCCCCTCAGCCCCTTCCCAGCGCTTCCCTGCAGCCTCCGCTCGCCCGATCCCGCCACTCCCCTCAGCCGGGCGGGAGCCCCGAGGCCGTCCCGGGGAGGCCGGGGGGTGACAGCGCCTTGGGGATGGGTTGACACAGCCCCCAGGGCACGGGGGAGTTTCGGCACACCGGGCACGGGGTGCCAGTAGGCCGAGGATTCGCCGTGCCAGGGGAAGAGCCGGGGCCGCCCCTGCCGGCGCTCGGCTCGGTGTGGGGCGCGGCAGCGGCTGGGGGCCGGTACCAGATCCCGTGGGAGAAGTGGGCAGCGGGCACGGCTGCAGCGAGCCCTGCCCAGCTCCTGCGAGGCTGCTGCTTTTTCTTGTCCGTAAAGGGTCATGGTTCGTGTTTGTCCCTTCCGTCTGTTCCCTTGCCTGGGTTGTGGCCCGCCGAGTGTACAGCTGAGTGCTGTTCCTGAGGTTCAGAATTGTGGGGTTTCCCCGGTGAATTGTATTTATGTGTTATACAACTGTGATTTTCAAGTAGACAAATCCTGCTTTATGCCTGGCTGCAGTTTCGGGGTAGTTGTGGACATCCATTCTGTACAGGCTGGAATATATCAAAACCCTTTGTCAGAATAAGATACCTTAGAGGTTAGAGGGGACAAACCCATGTTGTTTGTTGATGCCCAGCCCCTGCTGAGTTTCCCCTGCCTGTGTATCTGTCCGTGCTGCCCATGTCATTTGGGCTCTGGCTGTACAGAACACGGGGATGTGATTGTTGAATGAACCAGTCATAACTGTAATTGTTTTTCTTGTATTCCACACACAGGAGCTCTTGCTGCTGTCCCTGGGAGGCCATGCTGCCCATCATAGCCTGTTGCCTAGATTTTCTTTTTTTTTTTTTTTTTAATAGTTATTTGTTTGATTATGGCAGCAAGTGAAGTTCCAAGTAGTCAGGCACTGGGCAAACAGCAGAACATGGTTATTACCCCAAATACCTCAGAGTGCAAAACCTGTTACCCTTAGAGCTATCCTTCCATAAACAAGACTAGATAATTCTCCTTCTTTCTTGATATTTTTATATAAGATTCAAACATGTACATGCTGTCATGTTAAACGAGTTACTGGCTGAAAGATGTTTTCAGCTCTTCTCATTTTAGCTCAATCCCTTCTGACCCCTTACTGTTTTTGCTCCTCCTCTGAACTCCCACAATTTGTCGATATCTTTTGTTGTAGCCAGTGAGACACAAGAAGGAACACCCACATCCCTTCCTTGCAATCTTTCTCTGAGGAGAGCTGACTCACCCAGTTCAGTTTGTGTGTGAAAATATCTCTAGTAGGAAGGATATTTTGGGTTGTATAGCCTGGAATGCTTCCTGACTGCTTGTTTTGTGGAGATATTTTTTAATTGAGGAAGTTAAGGGAGAGGTGATGTGTCCTTGGCCAAGGGGCTAAAGGGAAGAGTTGCAAAGGCCTTACTCACTGTGAGAAGCATTGCAGCGAGCCTGGTTGCAGAGGGGCACACATTTTTCAAGGCTTGAGTGCTGCTGTCTGATTTCGGGGGATGCTTTTATGCCAGGTCACTGCTACAGTGATCGCTGCTGGTGTGGCTGTATCGCCCCTCCCATCGCAGGGAGCGCGGAGCTTTCCGTGTCCGGGAATTACCGGCCGAGTTGTGAGGTCGAGAGGCAGAGCTGCTGCAGCTTTCATCTGCCCTCCTGAGAGCTTTTTTCTGTAATCATGACAAAGCCGTGGCTAATGCCAGCCTTGAGGGTGTGCCATGCTGTGCCCTTCCTAAAGGAATGGCTCAGCAGCACATCCAACTTCCCAGCCACGGGAAGATGGAGAATTTCTTACTGAAAATGTTTTGGGGTTTGTTTTTTTTTTTTTTTTTTCCCCTGTGGTGGTGTGCAGCCTTCTGCTGCCCTGCCTCTGGCATCAGGTGGAGTCACAGACCCATGAAGTAACATCATCCTCGTGTCCTGCTGCTGCAGCAGCATCTGCGCCTCAGCCTGGGATGATCTGGCATCTGCACGTCCTGCCTCATTCCAGGCAGCTGGGATGAGAGAAGGTGATCCTTCTTTTCCTGTCCTGGCTGGCAGGCTCTGCTTCTGCTCTGAGCTGAAACAGGAGAAGGTTAGGAGATAATGTCAGTTGTACAAACACAACTGGAGCAGCTTTTTCTACTGCATCCAAAAGGAAGCTTCTTGTATCCCACTCATGTCAGTCTCAGGCAGTGTTCCACTGTGGAACAGATGCAAATGGATAAAATATAATTGTCTTAATTTCCTTTTTCCTTGGTTTATCTGGCTCAGCATTCTTTTCTGCATAGGACTGCAGAGCCTGACTTAGACTGGTCATGCCTGGGCTGGGAATCAGAGTCTAAGCCTGACCTGGGGAACTTTTTGTTGGGGTGGCTTTTGGCTTATTTCAGTAGAGAAGTGAACCCAGGAAAAGAGGAGCGTTTGTTACCAGCCAGTTAAAGATCTGTGGTTCTCTTCATTCCAGCTGCTCTGTGGTTCTCTGCGTTCCAGCATCGTTTATCTCCAGAGAAAACAAACGTATTTTTTCATATCTAATTATTAATCTGAATATTACCTCATTAGCATTTCAGTCTGGCAGAGCACCTGAGGGGCTCTGATACTCAGGGTGGGTGTGATGCAGCTTTGTCCTGAGCATATTAAAAAAAACCTGAAAACTGAGACAGAAGTGGTGGCAGGACTGGGGTAGTGCCAAGACTACAGTCCCCAGATTGCTAGTTTAGATTCACATGGTTGCCAGTGTGAAATGGGATTTTCAGGAGGGGACCAGGTGGACAAGTGTCTCTGGAAGCAAATAACTGGCACCAAATGGGCCTTGCTTGGCAGTTTCAACAGAAAAGCCAAGGACTTGATATTCTTGATATAAGGGTTGAAGCATATTTATAAAGCAGCACAGATGAGCTCCTTGCCCACATTTTAAACATTCTTCATAAAAATAGAGAGGATTTTAAGTCACAACTTGAGAGACGTGACACAACTTCCTGTAGGGCTGGAAAGGTGAGGTGAGGTGATTCCACTCCTCTGGGATGCTGAGTTCACGTGGCTGTGCTGAGACTGGGAACAGCTATCCATACACCCTGTTGTGTTGTGTCATGCAAACACATCAATCTCCAGAGCCAGGGCAGGACTTGTGATCAAGCTCATTAACTTTTATGAACCGAGATTTCATATGGAGGTTTTATGCATGTTGGAAATAGGGAGTTTCTTCATGTGGAACAGCACTTCCCTTTGGCAGTCACTCTCTCCTTCTGAGACTTCACTGTCTTCGTGTCAGAGCTTTTGCAGAAAAATCTTAGATGAGTCTGAGAGCATGAAATAATCCAGTGTCATTGCAAAAAGTTTTTGGAGATATTTGGAGCAGCTTTGAAATTAATATTTTGAACATGCAAATCTTGGTTATGTTTTCCTATTTGTACCACATCATTTTTCTAATTTTAGGATGTGCAGCCAACAGAGTCTAGTTGGTTGTGTGTCCTTATCTGTTTGTGCTCCTCCTGCATTTATTAAGTAAATTCCCTTAATTCTAGTCAGGAACCTGAATGTTTTTCTTCTGGGCCTGCTGAGCACAGGAGGTGCTTTGGAGCACCAAACTATCACAGTGCTGTTTGGCTTGCATGAAGAGGCTTTGGTTTCATGATGCTTCCAAGGTGTTCATCAGTTGGAAATGTGATGATAAGATTTAGGTGCCAGGAACAACTGTTCTAAACAGTTGTTTGGCTCTGCAGAAGTTGTCTTTTAAACTGAGCTTCCCTTGAATCTCTGGAGTTTAAAACCAGCCAGTTCTACAGCGAGTTCTATAGAATGTATTCTTGCAGTTGTTCGTCCCTGGCTGCTGTTTTCTGCTTATCTGGGGTCCCATGAAGGTCAGCAAGGGGCACAGAGATTGACCAGTGGGATATTTTACCATGCAGTCCATGGAAAAATCTACTTGCTTTACAAGTGAGGAGGAAAACCTGAGCAAACCTTGCAGGATGGGCACAGTAGCAGGGCTGGTGTGCACTGGGAAAAGGAGGGTTTGGAGTAGAAGCCTGACAGCTGTTCAGCTGTCTCTGGAAAGGTAAAAGGATATGTTTTAATGATGATAAAAAATGGCACTTTGTAATGCAGCATGTGTTTGTTTTGTTATGCTTCCCTCAGAGATGAAAGTACAGGGATGTGTGCTGGGATTTTTCCTGTCCTTCATCCCCTGCTGTATACTATCTGACTAAGCAATATTTAATTTCCTAAACCTCTTTCCATTATATTAAAATTTTTAGGAAGGTTTCTTAAATGCCAGCTCTTAGATATATAGGGACAGGTACAGTGCATTGTTTCTTTCCTTACAAGAAAGAAAAACCATCATATCTGGTTATGGCTGGAAAATTAGGTTAAAGCAGGAATCTGCTCTGTTCATTCTGCATCAGGGTTAAGTAAAATACATGGAGCAGATGCATTCATAACCAAAGAGATGCTGATAGCCTCACTACTCTGCAATCAGTGCAGTCAGTGAGGTCCTGCAGCTTAAGGGAGGATCCTTCAGGGGACTGAAACAGCCCTGTCAGTAATGCATTGGTCTCTTGGCTTCAGCACATAGGATTTGAGTTCCTGATCAGGTGCAGGCTGTTGTGTTTATTACTTGCAAGAAGAACTCAATGTATAATAATAAATTTTAGTTCATAAATCCCAGGAGAAATGCTAAGGTATCAATCAAATCAGCTGGCACTCCAAAAGCAAGTGCTAATGCTAAATGACTGATATTAAACATCTGATGTTCCAGCCCTTGATTCTGCAAAATTCCCAGGGAATACAAAAATAATTTAATATGTAGAAACTGTGAGGGTTTAACCTTTAAAGAGTTTAATGTTACAGCCAAATAGAAAGAGACAGCAATTTCAGGCAGAGGAAACTGTGAGCTGAAATATCTTATCCTGTGCTCTCATTCAGGATATGGGAATAGCCTGTCTCTAAATACTTGAGATTTGGCACCTGTTTCCTTTGGAAGGCAGTGGTCCTTACTGGATGTTTGGATGTCTTAGCTTGGACACACCCTTTTCCCTGAACAGATATACCTCATGTGAACTTCTTTTTTAGAGCTGGCAATGGATGTCAGATGCTTTTCTCTAGGAAATGTGGGACCTTTTATACTGTTTCTTCTCTTGATTGGTAATATGTTCTCTTTCCCTTGCCAAAGATAAAGCCACCAACCCATCCAACAGACAAGAAGACTGGGAATACATCATCGGATTCTGTGATCAAATCAACAAGGAACTTGAAGGGTGGGTGTCCCAGACTGCTGTAGACTTAATAAATTACATTCACAGTTTAAAGTGTGAAATTTCATTATCAAACATTTATATTTTCTTTTATATATACTGATACCACAAGGAAGAGCTGGCTACAACAGAGAGAAGGTGCTGCCTCTCCTGTGAAAGGCAGCGTGGCTAATCTAGACTGAGCACTGGGAAACTGGGAATTCTGAATCTGCTTCTAATTTCAGGTTCTGCAGCTCCAGGGTTTTCCTCTGGCCAAAATTACTCCATTTGCCAGTCTGTAAAATGGGGTTATCTCTGATAGTGCTGGTAGGGCTTCACATCTTTAAAATCTTTACTTGCAAGACACTTTGTTTAAACACCAGAATTTGTGAAAGTGTGAAAATCCTCCATGGTGTTCACCTGCTCTGTTCCAGGCCGCAGATAGCTGTGAGACTCCTGGCTCATAAAATCCAGTCACCACAGGAATGGGAGGCAGTCCAAGCCCTGACAGTAGGTAGTCCTTACCCCTCCTCTTAAATCCAGCCATGTATCCTATTGCATCACCTGGGTGGAGTCGAGGGGGCCCAGGGTGTGTCCATGGGGTCGTCTGGGGGCTGAGTGTCTTCATCCCCGGGAGGGAGGAGGAGATGGGAGGGAGCACAATTCCATCACTAAAGTGTCTGGAAACAACTCTGAGTTAGTTTGAGCTGCTTTCCTTTGTTCTCTTCAGGCAAGATTTGTGTTTGTTGTTGAGGCCAAGTATTGAGATAAAACAGACCCAGATACACCTGGCTGAGGTCGGGACACCAGCCTGCCTTGATGTGTCATCCCTAAAGATGGGAGATTGATGTCTGCATGGAGCAGGAATGCTTGTCTCACTGCCAGGGGCCCTTCACCTCCCCTTCACCCTGTTATTGTAGGGTTTTGGTGTTGCTTTCAGCCCCTGTTTCTGTTCCTTGAATGCAGGTGCTGGAAGCTTGTATGAAGAATTGTGGGAGAAGATTTCATAATGAAGTTGGAAAATTTCGCTTTTTAAACGAGTTAATAAAAGTTGTGTCTCCAAAGGTTAGTCCCTGAGCCTTCCAGCTGTAGCTGCTTTTTGTTTGACCTCTGTAAGCTACAGGCAGCATCCAAAATATTTGCAGCGTTCTGTTTGGCTCATTGCACTTATTAGTCTGTATTCAAGAGCATTTGTTAGCTTAACTCTTGTTGTTTGGGGATTTTTTATGCCTTACTAAATTTCTTGGGAAATTGTACTAATTTGCCATCACTATGCAGTTTCTGGGTTGTTCTAATCCTTCATGTACCACAAGGACTTCTAAAATTTGGGCTCTGTTATTTTAAAAAACAAAATTCCAGTGATGGTATAAGAGAAATGTGATGCAGAGGTTAAAACAAGAGGTTTGACAACACACCATGGAGCTCTAGTCCTCATTCTGTTTACTTGTTGTTTAAAGAGTGCCAGACTAAGTCCCTCAACATTCATGATGAGTTTAATGTGCTGAAACTCTTCCCTATGGTGTGATTGATGCAGCAATGCATTCCCAGATTCTTTCCCATAAGACAGAGGAGGGGGTGGTTCTCTGTATTGCTGTAATTTTTAAAATAGCAAAATCCTGGAGCCAGTAGAATAGCTGCTTTTTTTTTTGCTGAACATTATCACAAAGCTTCTCTTCAGTGTTATTTCAAATCTATTTGAGGAGCAATTTTTCCTCCTAATGAGATGTACCTTAGATCATCTTGGAACTTAGGTTGTACACCTTTGAATGTATTTCACTGAGCTTCCACAGAGCTTTAATTTTAAAAAGAAATTAAAAACATGAAGAATTTGGATCTTTTTTCCCACACTTAGTACCTGGGAGACCGAGTCTCAGAGAAGGTGAAGTCCAAAGTCATTGAATTGCTGTATAGCTGGACTGTGGCATTGCCAGAGGAATCCAAAATCAAGGATGCCTACTACATGCTGAAGAGACAAGGTAGGAAGTCAACTGCTCACTCATGCATTCTCTCCAGCCCGGGCTTTGAGCAAGAGTGTCACAAAATATACAGCTTCTAATTAAATGGGGTCAAGACAAGCTCTGAGGGGAGATATAACAAGGGAAAAATTCTCTGAAAAGCTTTTCATTATGTGGAAATGCCTTAGGCAGGGTTGGGTTTGCTCTGGTAACTAAATTAGCGAAATACCTTGAAAATACTTTTGTTTTGTAGGGCCTTTTATTTTTTTGGTGGAAGTAGTTATTAGATGATTTGAGCAAGTCCAGTTTAAAGTGAAATAAGAACTTCCAAGTAGCTTTTTGTGTTCTTTTAACTAGAACAGCTTTGCAGCTGTTCCTTTAGTTCCTCTGACACACATTTCTTGTGTAGGCACAATAAAAAAAATACAGTAGCTTCACAAGAAAAATAGATTCCATGAAAGCTGTGGAAACCATCCTGTCCTATTAGGACACACAGACTGCAAGTCATAACTGTCCCTTGCAGCACTGTGGATGGATAAACTAAAGGCTGAATGGGGCTGAAAATGGTTCCTCCCCTTCAGAGGGAGAGTTTAGGCTCATGTTGTGGGGTTGGGAGAACATCCAGGTAGAAGTCATCTCAGGGATTTGGATGTATTGTTCACTGGAACAGCGTGCCAGTGTCAGGGGCAGATGTGTGTTGGCTTTGACACAGCCTGGGAGTACCTGTGTGCCCTGCCTGGTGTGTGTGTGCTGACCCACAGGGGTTCCCCCTCTGCTTTCAGGGATTGTGATGTTTGACCCCGTGATTCCTGCAGACAGAACACTGATCCCTTCTCCACCACCTCGTCCCAAGAACCCAGTGTTTGATGATGAGGAGAAATCCAAGGTACAGTGAAGACTTGTGTCAAAATCACTAATGAAAACTGATTCCTCAGTGCACATTTAGAATAAGGAAGCAAAGTATAAAAATGTGGCTTTTACTGGGGGTGGGGATAGTTAGTCTGTGCTTTTGCAGGGTTCGCTGCTTTGTCCACCTGCTTAACCCAAAGTTCCAGTTAAGACCTTGTCTGTGTTACCATTATGGGGTTACTGCTGTTAAAGTGCCATCCTGCTGAAGTACTGGGTAGCAGAGAATGGAGGAAAAATAATGTATGGGAGTGATAACTATCTAGTGCCAAAAGTCTCTGAGACTTCACAGAATGTGCCCTGTGTAAAAGTAGGAATGTAGCAACTCACATAGATAATAAACTCTAAATGACTCCTGCTGAAGTGCCTGTAACTATGGAAGCTGTGCAAGCTTTGTAATACTGGGCTGTATCCTTTTTCCCCTGAATTGTTCATATGGATTCCTTTTCCCTTTGCTCAAGGGTCTTTATTTGTTTCCTATCATCTTCTTGTCTTTCAGCTTCTAGCCAAGCTGCTGAAAAGCAAAAACCCAGATGATTTACAAGAGGCTAATAAACTTATAAAATCTATGGTAAAAGAGGTAAGAAATTCCTGTAGAATTGGTTCAGGTCAGTATTCTGCTTTCCAGGTTTTAAGCAATTTGACTTCAAATGGTGGAGAGCTTAGGATTTGGTCTCTAGCTTGTGCCTAGGAGATGTTTGTGTCACAGAAATGTCTACAGTTGATGTCTCTGGTGGAGGATGGAGCAGGAATTGAATGTCCCTTGTTGTGGATAACCACATTCCCATCATTCAAAGTGGGATTTCATATCAAGGTTTGCTGGGAGCATTGTTGTACCACTCCTGGATGCTGAGGACTGAGTCATTGGACTGGGTCTTCTCACAAACAAGTTCATGGAAACACCTTCCTGTTTATAGAGCTGTGTGCATCCACGCATGGCAGTCATTCCAAACTCTGGAGTCAGGAAATTACTCACTGGGATTGTGGCAAATAAAAGCATACCTTCTGGACTTTAGTGGTTGTATAGGTTACCAAGATATTTCATTCAAGCTCCTCTTACCCCCAGGGCAGGCTCTCCTATGTCTTCAGTTGGAATCTCCAATCAGAGATGGGTGGACATTTTCCACCTGAGTGTGCTTGTTGTTCCTAGTAAATGTTTTGCTTCAAACACATCTCATTTGTTAAATGGCATCAAGTGAACAAAAAAAAATCTTCTGAAAAGGTCAGAAAGGAACTTCTGGAAACATTTTTAGTGGTGTAATTATGCATTGAGGTCTATTTAATGAGACTTACTGGAAATGTGGGGTTGCCTGTAATTTCAGAATGGTTGTGAAAAGACAATAAAATAAACAAAGCTTCACATGAACAAAGAAGAGTTTTGTTTACTTTTTTTCTAGCTTAACCATAAATAGCCATTACTTGACATGTTTGCAGATAATACCTGTGGTTGTGTTACTGTGAACTTTGAGAAGGAAACTCACCCTTTCTGTGCTTTTCACTCTGAAGGATGAGGCTCGGATCCAGAAGGTGACAAAGCGCATGCACACGCTGGAGGAGGTGAACAACAATGTGAAGCTGCTGAATGAGATGCTGGTTCATTACAGCAAAGAGGACTCATCAGAGGCTGACAGGGAGCTCATGAAGGTGGGTCTGAGCTGCTCCTTCTTCCCAGCAGTCCTGGAGTCAGTCCTTTCTTACAGACTTGAGTTTTGCAGAGAAATACAAACACTGCAGTAAAACGGAGAGCAATGATGAGAAACAGGAGCTGCAAACAGCAGACAAGAAAATATCCATGTTTTTAGTGCCTATCACCAAAAGACTGGGTGGGAGAATAGCTCAGTTTCATGTATGTTTGAAGTGAGGTACAGCTGTTCTCCAAAGGTGCAGGGTGGCAGAACCAAGAAGGTGCAGTTTGTAATTCTGGATCCTATAAGGACACACAGACTGCAGGTCATTGCAGATTGCTGCTGTCCTTTGCAGCACTGTGGATGAATAAACTAAAGGCTGAGTGGGGCAGAAAATAGTTCCTCCTCTTCAGAGGAAGAGTTTTAGCTTGTGTTACTGGGTTAGAAGAGTATCAGCAAAGTGAAAATCAAAGCAACCACCAAGGATGACTTGGCAGGCCCCGAGCCTTTAAGAATTGCACATTATTTTATTAAAAACATTAAACCCACTTCTTTTTAATGATAGCATCTTTAAACAGTGGTAAGATGCTTAAGAAACTTGTTTGTTTCTGTGAACCATTTTGTTATTGCCACCTTTCTGCCTTGTGGTTGCAGACTCAGTAGTGGTTGCAGCACTAACTGCTGAAGCATGATTCTGCTCTTCCTCAAGCTTTTAGGGACTACTGTACGAGGAAGGAACATCTCTTTTGGACTAGAACTTGGCCATAAGTGCTGAAGTGAGGAAGGACTGAGAGATGTGTTGGGAATGCAGGTTGTTACCCCAGGCTCATGTAATGCTGCTCAGCACTGTGAGCTGGGCACAGAGGGCCATTCTGGCTGTGCAGTCACACTGGCACAGTGAGCACTGTGACACTGGTCTGTTCTGGGGATTGTTCTGTGCTGACTGGTGCTGCTGGCAGTGGCTTCTGGCTGGTGAAACCCTTTGTCCTAATCTGCCTTCCAGGAGCTCTACGAAAGGTGTGAAACCAAAAGACGGACACTGTTCAAGCTGGCCAGTGAGACAGAGGATAATGACAGCAGTTTGGGTAAACTAAGCTACATTTGTCCTTTTTAAATTGCTTTTGTGCTCCTTGCCTTTGTAAGGGGTCAGCTCTAAAGTCATCTCCTCACTGTGAGTTCCTGTTCCTTTGATAAAGGACAGTCCTTCCCTCTTGGTGCTTTTCATTTCAGTTCAGGCAAGGACTGGATGGTAAAGTTGGTGGTTCAGGAGGATGGGAGCAGTAATGGGGGACAGCTGCTGCTTTGGGAGGGGAAGGGAGTAGCTGTGGGGAGCAACCTTGGGCTCATTTTTTTCTTGTTACTGCAATGTGTATGGAGCTAGAAAAGGTCAGGGTATTGCTTATAGAAATAAGGCACAGGCAGAGTGATGGAGCTCATAGCCAAATAGTCATGGTTTTTCTTGCTGATTATTTAGCTGAGCACTCAGCATTAGTGGGAACAAAGTGACTAAAGCCTTGGAGGTCATTTTTGTGTCTCTTGTAGGAGATATTCTGCAGGCCAGTGACAATTTATCACGTGTGATAAATTCCTATAAAAAAATAATAGAGGGGCAAGTGATCAATGGTGAAGTGGATCTCCCTGGGATGTCTGTAGTGGAAGGTGAGTTCCTGGGAAGCCAGTTTAATTTTTGACTCCTGCAATTCTAAGTCTTTTGAACAACGTTTTCTGTTTTGTTAAAGTAGCATTTGATGGTTCTTGAATTCACAAAATTCAACAGTTTGTGAATCAAAGGGGACCAAGAAGGCTCCTGAGCAGTGGATAAGCAATTCTGGACAGGAGCAGCAGTGCTGCAGCTTTGCATTCTCCTTTGCTCAGTCCATATTATTGAAACCTTTGATGACATCAGTAGTAAACCTGCATGTGAGCAGTTTGTGTAGCTGGAAATTTTCATCCATTTTCCTCCCTACATTTGTCCTGTTTCTTAATGGTAACGTGTAAGAAGATAATTTTATCAAAAACACAAAAGCTGAAGAGTAGCAGCTGGACCAAGGGTCCTTTTCCTGGTTTTTCAAGTAATTCCACTTGTGAATTCAGGCGAATTGCCCTCTTCACATTTCAGCTTCACCATTGAATGCTGTGGACACAAGTGTGACAAAATTACCTTTTCTGACTCAAACATTTTTGCTGCTGCCTGGCAGCATCTTACTGAGACAAGACTGCTCTAAATATGAGGATTGAGATGGTATGAATTTCCTTCAGCTCTCCAGCTCTCTGATATCCTCCGTTTATTATAATGCTGTAGGATCTCCCAAAGCCTCATCTGATTTCAAAAGATTTTGAAGAGATTATGAATTGTGAAGCACTGGGGAAGAAGCAGTGGTTGCAGCAGATTTTCATGTGGAAATTCTTTAAGTATCTGTGCTGATTTACATAGTCTAGACAGCAAATATCCTTTCTCTGTTACAAAGAGCCATAAGCCATGCTCAGATGAGGATCTAAACCACCTCTTTGCTAATTTCTTCTGCACACCGAGTTTGTTCTGAGCCTTTTGCCTTCTTTCCTAGTAGTGCTCTTCTCTTGTCTGCTGCAGGGAGTAACTCCACCAATAATCTCAACACCCTCATTGACCTTGCTGGACTGGATGTCACTAGCACCCCTCCACCTGTGATGCCACCCAGCAGCCTGACAGCAGCGCCCAGCACAGCCCCTGGCCCAGCTGAGATCCCCATCCTCCCTCCTCCTCCCCAGACGTTCGTGCCGCTGCGCAGCAGCTCCTCCAGCCACGTGGAAACAGCACCTGCCCAGCAGGGCACAACCAACTCCCTGTCCTTGCTGGATGAGGAGCTCCTGTGCTTGGGTAAGATGCTCAGGTGCCTGCAATAGGGTCACTAAATCTATCCTAACAAAGGCTTCTGCATTCTCCATGTTCCTGGATTGCAGGGAACACTCCCTTGCATCATTCTGAATAGTAGACCTGGTCAGTGAGTCAGTATTGAAATCTCTTGCCAGAGCTGGCTGCAAGAAAGTAACTGTTTAGTGCAGTTGCAGTCTGATCTCTGGGACATGCTGTGTGTACAGACTGAAGTTTGAGACAGATGAAGCCCTGGTTGTGGGGTTGTGCTGAAGAGGAGGGCCTCAGAGGGGCTGTGCCTAGGAGCCTGCAGGATGCCTGTCTGTGGAGCCCAGATGTGAACAGCAGAAGGCAGTGCTAATCAGGATGGGTTAGAAGAGCTGTGTGCAGGGCTTGAGTGTTGGCTGCTGGTGCTGTCAGTCTCTTCCTCATTGTAGACTTGCAGTCCATCTCAGTATTTCATCAGGTTCTTGGGCTCTGGCAGAACTGAATCAAGTTTTGATGGTACTGAAACAGCAGCCAAGGAATGACACTGAATTCATTTTCTCCTACTGTTGTTTTTCCCTACAGGCCTGAATGATCCAGCTCCTGCAGCAGGGAAGGAGACCTCGGAAAACAACCAGTGGAGCATGTTTGAGGTACAAAGGAGGAGTCTCAGGGAAGGGGAGGGAGGGAGAGAGAGATTGTCATTGTGGGAGGTCTCAGACCCACTGTCACCTTGGAGAATCATGTGATCATACACATGGGCAAAGGGACTTAGCCCTAAACTCTGGGATAGCTGTCTTTAAACAGAGTAGGTATCCCTGAACCTGGCTTTCTCAGTGTCCCATCTGTCCCTATGATGTTAGTCCTTGCGTTGCTTAAATTACAGATCAGATGTAGCCCTGACTTAGGCTGCAGAATTTGCTGCTTGTCACCTAGTACCTGTTTTTGTGGTAAACCTCTGTCCCTCTGTAATAGAGCAGTGCCATGTCTGCATCAGGGCCAACAGTGAGTTGGAACATCTGCCTGTCCTCTCTTTCAGAATGAGCAGTTGGACCTGGATTTCTTTAATCCGAAGATGGTGACTGTTGCTTGCAACCCTGCAGGAAATCCTCTTCTCCATCACACATCACAGACCACTTGTGGGACATCAGCCACGCTGCCTTCTGCTTTCCCAGCCTCCCAGACTGCTCCCAACATCCCAGCACCAAACTCAGCACCATTTGTATTTCCTGCTGTACCAGCTGCTCCTGCAGGGCCTCCTAAGACTATTCCAGCTTCTCCTGGCTACTTCAGCTCGTCTGTGGGGAGCAACATGTCACATAAGATGGATGCATTGGGACAACTCCTCGAAGAAGCCAAAGGGTAACCAAAAGTCCTGACTTTGCCTTGGCTCTGCAGTTAGAAAGCCAAGTTCACTGCAGTGCCAGTTCTGAGGGTGACTTTCAATTCTGATTTGGTAGAAATGTGGAATTGGTATTTTTCTTCTCAGAGGTTTCAGTTTACAAACTAATACGAGTTTCCCACCTCTGGGAGAGAAAGGCAGGCAGAACACACAGCTGTACCATTGCCTGATCCAGAGTTGTGGTGTGAAAGGGAACCAGCTGTTGAGGTACAGAGGCCTTGTTTCCTTCCTGACTCAGAGAAATGACCTCACCCAGCCACCACCCTGTCCTTGTAGCTCTCCTCATGGCAGACCACGCAGAGTCACAGACTCAGCCTGACTCCAGGCTGCTGCTTTGTCCTTGTAATGTTGTTATCTCTGGGTATTGGTGAAATTCCTGCCTCACTTCCAGCTCCATTTACCACTTTTCTGTCTCCTTTGTAGGACTGGCACCCAAGGCATGGTGACACCTTCAGTGTTCCCTGGGGTTACGTTGCCAAGCACTGTCACCCCTGGCCCATTAGCAGCACCTGCAGGGCTGCCAGCCACTACCTCTGGAGCCCCTCCAGCTCCCTTCCCGAGCAGCTCCACTGCTGGATCAGGAAGTCCTCTCTTCCAGCCAGCATCATTCCAGCAGCAAGGCAGTCCCATGAAAGCACCTGAAATTTCTTTGGCCAATGTCCACGTTCCCTTGGAATCCATTAAACCCAGTAAGTATTTCAGTTTTTTCACTTTGCTCTGGATATTTTCTTAAAGGCAGAGAGCTTCTTGGCAAAGCCCATGAAATAGAGAGAAGGGATGAGCAGCTCCAACCGAACACCCCCATTGCCTGATGCTGTCTCAGACCATGTGCTGCAGCACAAACCTGGATCCTCTCCCCTCTCTCCCTGTGGCAGGCAGTGCCCTGCCCGTGACAGCCTATGACAAGAACGGCTTCCGGATCCTGCTGCACTTTGCCAGGGAGTGCCCGCCGGGACGCTCGGATGTGCTGGTTGTGGTGGTCTCCATGCTGAACACAGCGCCCCTGCCCGTGAGGAACATCGTGCTGCAGGCAGCCGTGCCCAAGGTAGGGACAGCAGGACAGAGAATGCATCCAGGGACTTGGGACAGCCTGGCCTGACCTTTCTGTAGGCTGTGCTCTGCCCCTTTCCAGAACACAAAAGTTGTTGTCAGAGGCAGAAAACAATGAACAGGATAAGTCAAGAGATGCCTGTTCATATTGTGTTTTGCGAGCTCTTGTTCCCTCATCCTCACTTGTGGGTTGATTCTTTTCCATTTGGATGTGTGCTATTGTCCCCTCAGCCTGTGCATGCATCCTTCATTGTCCCCAAGGCAGGCGATCATCCTCATCCTGAGGTTCTGCTCTATTTCACTTGCAGTCCATGAAAGTGAAGCTACAGCCACCCTCTGGCACTGAGCTGTCTCCGTTCAATCCCATCCAGCCACCAGCTGCCATCACCCAGGTCATGCTTCTGGCAAATCCTGCCAAGGTGAGAGGGGCAGTGGGATTTATCCTGCCCTCTTCAGACACATTTGATATCAGCTGAACTTTGTGGAGGGTGGGACCAAACATTTGAGCAGCTACAGCTGTTTGTTCCTAAAAGTTTGGACTTGATGACCTTGGAGGTCTTTTCAACCTTAATTATCTGTGATTCTAATGTGCCCTTCAGAAGCAGTTACTATGGAATGTTGGTGTTTCAGTTCAGGCCTAGAGGAGGATCTTTCCAACAGTCTTTGGCAGGCAGAGCTATGAGAAGGGGCAGTACGCTTCTTCCAGCAAAAGGATCATGTCAGGCTCAGCTTTAAAGGGTAGCAAAGCTGCATCAGGAGTTTGACTGTCCTGTGCACTGATCGTGCCTGGCTTTACTGATAATTAGATCAATGCTAAATTAACTGGTGCTGTAGCAGTACTTTTGATGAATCAACAGACAAATGTAAGATCATGTCTATTCCATCATTCTCTGGGGAAGTGCCTGTGACCAGGGACACAACGAGTTTGACACTTTCAGCTGATGATGCTGGGAGCATCTGAGAAGCTGTTTTTCCTTGCTGTAATCACTCATTCTATCAGCCAGCTCTGAAAGCCCAAAGCTGAAGGACTTTTTAATTGTTTGACAAATTTAGATGTTTTACTTGAGAATTACAACAAAAGTGCCCTTGAAGTATCAGCTGAAAGCTCTGAGATAAAAGAATGAATGTCAGAGGGGTTTAGTGGATGTTTAAAAAACTTTGTGGGTACATGAACGTGCCCTCGTTGAAGGGCTGCTTCCATGCTTACTGTATTGCAAGGCATTTTTCAGAGCAGGAACTATTTTACCTTCTTACACATGGTGGGGAATTTAATTTTTGGAACTTTTCCAGCAGCAGTCTTTAAGTTCTGGAGAGCAGCTGAGCAGCTGGCCACGTCTGTGCTCACAGGTCATTTATGCTTTTCTCGTTCCGCTGCAAAAGTTTTTTGCTATAAAAAGTGTAAGGTGAATAAGTCAGGTTTGTAAATAGCTGAACTCAATGAACTTAACCTGCGCCCTCACACCCCTGCTCTGAACAACAGAAGTCTTGTGCTCTCTGTAGAGTTGTAACAGTGAAGTGTTTTGTTCAGGGCTGTTGAGCTGGGACTGTTCTCACATTGCTTTTGGGTTTTGTCTTTCCTGCAGGAGAAGGTGAGGCTGAGGTACAGACTGACCTTCACCCTGGGAGATCAGCCCAGCACAGAAGTGGGTGAAGTGGATCAGTTTCCCCCGGTAGAGCAGTGGGGGAATCTATGACCTTAGGACACTGCCAGAGACTCTGACAGGACCAGGGCAGGATCCCACAGGACTGGAATGGATGTGCCGTTGGGAGGGACACACATGCTATCCACTGGTGATGTTCAGCTTTGTTTACATGTCCTGACCACTCTGCTTGTAGCTTTAGTCCAGAATGTTGTGCCCCACATTTGAAGGGGCCCTGGAACACTTACGCCAAGCATGAACTGAAAGGCAGCCAGTGACAGGCAGTGCTGGCTGCTTTTACCTTGACCTCTGGGTGAATCTGGTTCTATCTTCCACTCTATTAAACTTGAAGTTATTGTATTTTGAGGGAAGACCTGTCAGCAGAAGGGAGTTTAGTTGGCTTTTCCTGCACTGCTGTCCAGAGATCCTGACAGGCTGTGGGGTGATGATGCCGCGAGCTCAGCGCAGAGCCCTGACAGAGCCCTCCCTGGGACTGTGATTCCCTGTGCCACGTGGGCCGTGAGCATGCTGAGCAATAATGCTGCTCCATGAGGGAATGCTTCCTTTTTTACACTGAAATAGCACTTAGTTCCCTTCCTCCTCTCCTGCTTCATTCCCAAGGGCCCGTGTAAGCAGCCCCTCGCTCCATGTGTGCCATACTGCTGTATCTTTGTTATATTTATTTTACACTGCTGGCTGCCACCCTGGGGCATCCATTTGGGGCAGCTGGGGCTGAGTTTTGTCTGCAAACGGTTACACTGGTTTGGTTTTTTTTGCCTTCATTGCATTCCATGGTGTGGGGGAAGGAGGAAATGCATAGTGAGGAGGTAAGAGGGCTGGAGGGTATTGGTCAGTATTAGAGGACAGCATCTGGAGCACAGAACTGTCTTTACAATCACTAGTTAGGGCCAGTGACTGAATCCAGGAATAAGGAGAGATGCCTCTCATGTCCCCTCATGCAGGCAGTGTTACTGGTATAGTCAAATACTATTTTATTGCTGAGTACAATGACCTACAAGATGTAAATAATAGAGCTGTAGGCTATTAAAACAGAACAAGCAGGCAGAGAAAGGAAGAGGCTCCCCCGGGCTGTGCTGGGGCATGTGCTGGGTTAATGTCCCATTTTCTTTGTTCCCTGTATTACGTGGCAAAGTGCAATTGTCCCCAAAAAGGGGGAAGCAATTTTGCTGGACATCAGTGTTAACAGAAGACCTGATCTCTTGGCTATAACCTCCCAGAAACAAGGTTTAAGTCACCAAAACTTTGTTCCAGCAGCCCCTTCCTTCTCAGTTTCCAGTCTCAAGCAGTGCCTCAGTGAGCTCTGAGACAGACTGTTGTAAATTAATGGGAGTTTTTAGCACCCACTGACACAAACACAGAGGGGTGCTTGCTGAGTCCTTGGATGCTCAGCTCTGCATTTCCAGCAGGGCTGTCAAGCAACAGCACTTCTCAAACGTGGAGTGGGATCAGAGAAAAGCAGTATACAGAGGCTCCTGCCTCGTGTAGGAAAACTCCACAGGAGGTGAACATCGTGCTGGAATGGTGGCTGTAAAACCATTGCTGCAAACACAGCTTGCAGTTATTCATAGTTGAATTTTCTTTACTGTTGTGCAGAGTAAAAATCCCTAGAGATTAAAAACAAGGGATTCACAAGCCAGTGTCCTCATGAGAGGCACCAGGCAGCTGCAGGAACCCCTTAAGGTGGAATCCAAGCATGTCCTGCTGGTCTGAAGCCTGTGGAGTGCTCAGCTTTATCAGCTCCCTGATGCAGAAGACAGGGGAGAGGGATGGGTTTAAGCTGTTTTAAATTGATGGACTGGAAGACTAGGGACAAGGAGAGAATTCTTTCTGCCTCATACATGTTCTTGCCAGCACTTTAGACACAGTAGGCATGGGGGCAGTGCCTGGGTGGCGTGTCCTGAGGAGCAGGGTCACCACGTCCCTGCACATGGATCTCACTGTGACATGGAGGAAGGCAGGAGAGCACAGGTGCTTTCTGTGAACAGCAGCGGCCACCTGGACATGCACCATGGTCTTGCTGCTTTGGAAATTAAACTATGAATGTTCCTTGTCTGTAGGGTGAGGTTCCTGCTTCATCCCCAGCAATCCTACCTGTACATACATCTTCAATGCATTTGTGTTGCTGCATGTTGAATAAATCATTTTCCCTATCTGGCTCTGTGCTGGCCCTTTCTCTTGACGGCTTCTGCAGTATGGTGCTGCTTCTGGAAATCCTCAAACTCAAACTATCAACTCAAGACCTTCCTAAGCAAAAATAAGAGGGTGCTGTTTCTAAAACCCTACTGATTTAAGAGGTGGCCTTCATTTCAGTTCTGGGTGTTAGAAGCAAAGAAAACAAAATCCAAGGAAAAGCTGTAGTGAGGGTCACTTCACCAGGGGAGGGCTGCCAGGCCAAGCTGGAACAAGCAGCTGTAGCATTTTGATGCAGCTCCTTCATAAAAACTAAAAAAAAGCCCATGAAAAGTTGTTTTTGGAAGATAAAAACAAATGACCAAGCAATTTGCAAAACAAAACATTTATTCTTAGAAAAAGTCACTTTATGTACAGCAAGCCCCAGCGAAAGAGGAACACCCTGCAGTCTTCAAGACCCTTCCACGGTGCCTTCTTTGACAATGACTCGTGCGAGGTTCCGTGCAAGAGCAAGCCTCAGCATTTCCACTTTGGTTGTCTCAACATCATCATCCTGGAAGGGAGCAGAGCCTGGGTTAGGGGACTGCACACAGCGAGGAACTGGAGACGGGGTCTGTCTCAGGGTTTGGAAAGTAAAGATGCAGGTCAGGGAGAGGTATTTACCTCGCACTGAGAGGTATTTATCTCACATTTACACAGACCTGAGAAGAACAAAAGCTCAACCCAAGGCAGCACTGCCAAGCCTTTTCATTCCCTGGATGCTGCAGGGTTTTGCATGTGCAGCAAATGGTTCTCTGTTCTGAGCCTGGCATGCTCAGAGCCAGAGCTGCTGGATGGCAACATCTCAGCTCTTCATTGCCCATGTAATGTGCAATTATTTATCTTGGAAAAGCACCACGGTCCAGTGCAAACCATCAGAACATGAGGAGCAGCAGCACTCCTGCACTGGGTTTGTGAATACTTCAGTCTCTTGTTGATGTTTCATTTGACTTCTTGATTTGAAGCCACTGTGCCAGTCTCTGGGACTTGGGCTGTCCCTCTCTTATGCCCTTACTAGGAATATAAAAGCAGAGTTTCCCTCCCCGACCATTCCTATGGCCTGCCTCAATTCATTATCCAGTTGTCCTCAGAACTGGGGCTACCTGGAATTTCTGCTTATCTGGATTCCCTGCTGTCAGGTCTTCCAGACATCGCATCAACTCGTAAGTCTGCTCTGCTGAAAATATGACCTGTGGAAATGAAAGTATTTACTGAAAAATATCAAAGACATCACACAGGCTGAGAAGATGATGCAGCTGAAAGGATGATAATGCTTTGACACTCCCATAGATCTGTTCTCGCCCCTGAAATCACAGGATCCAAGGATAATTAAGACTGGATGTCACTTTGGGAGGTCTCTAGTGCCACCTCCTGCAACAAGCAGAGTCAGATATGAAGTCAGAGTGGCTGCTCTGGGTCTGTAATTGCTGAATTGTCCTTGACGGATCTTAAAGGAAAAACTCTGCATAGAAGACAGGGGCACTGAAACAATCTTCGAGCCAAGTACCCAAAGGAGCTGGATGTAGTGTGTTAAAATTACCAGTGCAGATGAATTCCACTGCTGTTGTAACAGCTGGGAAATGAGGTAAGAGTCAATTTATCCCTTACCAGGTCCCTGTGTGTTCCCACTGCTGGGACACTTGGAACTGCCATGGACAGATCCTGGCAGGAGCAGGAAGGGGGGGTTCACCACTCTGAGCTCCCTTGTCAGGAAAAAAGAAGAGGCCCCCTGGTGTGAGCAGGACCTCACCTCCTTCTGCTCCAGCAGCGGCAGCGCGTCCGTGAGCAGCGTCATCCAGAAGGAGCAGGGGGCGATGTGAGCCGTCATCAGCGTGAGCAGCAGCCGCGCCGCCTCCGGGAACCGCTTCTCCCCGTACAGCCGGTGGAACTCCCGGTACTTCCCTGCCACGGGACGGGGGAACGAAGCATCAGCGGCTGCTGGGCCTTGGGAGATCCCTCTGCTCCCACAAAGCCCATGGCAGAACGACCCCCAACCGAAACGAGCCCAAAGCAGCCCGGTCTGGGGGATCTGGTGCATGAAGGAAAGAGACAACAGAGCCTCCCTTCAAGGCAGCCAAACCCTGCTGCTGCTCTGGGTGAGCTTCAGGGTTTGCATCAGCCTGGTCAGTGGCTGCTGCTGCCTCATGCTGAGTGTCTGCAGGGGAGCAATGCCCCAGTGGCTTAGAGAGCAGAGAGAATATCCTTTCTGTGGTCACAGAGTATGAGGAGGTCTCAAAGCCTGCACCATCTTCCTTGGGTGTTTAAATGGAAACTGGAATCTCTGCTAATAGGGAAAGGTCTGCATTTGCTAAGAATTAGTAAGATCAATATCCAGCATTAGAGAAGTGGCTGAAGATGGAAGTGAGGTTCATTCTGTATCCACTAAACTATCACAATACTGGAAGTTAATGATTTCTATTTGGATTCACCTTGACTAATGCTTGAGCTCAAGGAGAGACATGGGAAGTTATCCACCATGCTCTAAAAACTCCAATGGAAAAACAGGCAGAAATATTTTCAAGCTTTTCAGGATTGTTTAGAAAGAGCAGAAAGGGAAATGGCTTCTCTGGGGACGACAATTACCAGAGGATGCTGGGCATGCTGAGCTGAGGAATTACCAATTTGATAAGTCATGTTTAGCTTCTAGACCTAACTTAGGATAAGCTTTAATGAAGAAAATTCAGTTTCAGTTTTCCAAGCTGGGACCAAGTGGGAACAGATAAAACTCATGCTCACCCTCCCTGCAAGGGTGACATCAGGTAGAAGGGAGTTAGTCCAATGCTGACAGCTATTCCAAATTCCTATCAGATTCTGGCCCCTGACACTGAGATTGCTAACACACAGCATCAGAGAAATCAGTTTCCTATTTTGGTCCATGAATCAAAGGCCACAGAGCAGCTGCAGACAAAGGGGCAGGTTACCACAGCCTGCCTTGTGCCAGGCAGGAGAAGGAAGCTGTGGTACCTGAAGGAAATGAGCTGGAGACCCTCCCTGTCTCTTGGCACAACTGAGAGGGCAGAGAGGGCTCTTGTTCCAGTGAGCTTGACTGGCACACTGAACCCCCACACACTGGAGACTTTGGAGAACTTGGTAAAATTATAACAAGGTCAACAGAACCAGTGATTACTGTTCCAATGAACCCCCTAAGGTAGCATTTGTTAGTATTTCAGAGCCTCTCAAGGTAGTGACAAAGTCTGGAAAAAGAAGGAAGGAGAAGTTCAGAGTGTCAGGATTTGGCCCTGTCCTGCTGAGAGCAGAGCAGGAACCTGGTGTGAGGGCAATGGTAAAGGCCACCCCTGGTACAAGCTGCATCCCAAACCACATTCACCATTTGTTTCCCCTCATCACTAAACCAGGAGGTAGCATGGAAGAAAGCATAAATCCAAGTAATTCCATGGAGTTCTCCATAACAGACCAGTATGGACTCTGCAGGCAGCTCTCACCAAGGAACGTGAGCCGGTCACTGAGCAGCATGGACGGGCCCAGATTGTCAATGAGGTCCAGGTCAGAGAAACACCCCCTTTCACAATAGTCCTTAAGGAACCTGGGGAGAAAGTGGAACACAAGGAAAGCTTAGAGGGGAGGACATCAACCACATCCATTCTGTACCTCCTAATCCCTTCCCAGACAACTTGACTGTAGGCTCAATCTGAATCAACCTCCCCAAGGGTTTCAGAAGTTGTCAAACATTCCCTGAAAGTGACCAAGGAACTGGCATAATGTACATTTAACAGACACTTCATTGATTCTTCTGCATTCTGTGGTAGTTGAGATCTATTTTTGAGAAGAAGTAAGTGAAGGAAGGCAGGCAGGAAGCTGAGGCTGGTGGATGCCTAAATAACACGCTCAAATCATAACAAAAGCTCTGCTTTTCTGCTGTGTAAAAAAGTTGATAAGCAGTAGGAACAAAAACAATGCTAAAAGCTTTTCATCTGTTTTGTCACAGCCTCCATTATGCTGCTTTCTGCAGAGCTGCTTCCTGTGATTTTTTTTCATGCTTCTGTTGAAGGAAATGTAATGATTCCCACTCCCTCAAATAATAAACAAAAAAAAACCCCAAACCTCAGACCAGCAATCTCTTACCACTCCTTTTTCCAGTGTCAAAGAGAGTGTTGCCTGGCCACCTACCCAGAGTGTAATTTCAAAATTATACTCTTAACTATGCAGAGACTGGTCTCTGCCTATTTCCAATTAGCAAAACCCACACGACATGGATTGTTAGAGATTACAACGCATAAAGAGTTGCCAGAGCTTTTGCTGAGGCATGAGCCAAGTGTCAGTATTGTCCTCACTTCGGTAACAATCTTCCCACCCCAGAAAAGGTCAGGAATTTTGAGAGGCTTTTACAAAGCCAGGGACACAATAAAACCACTCCCTGATGCAAATTTTTAGTAGAAACAGTGAGATTTTTAGTAGAAATGGTGGCTTAAGTGACTCCCACTCACTTGTTTGGAGTTGAACTTGATTATAAATAATCAGCTGTGAGGTGAACTTGATTATAAATAATCAGCTGAATAAAGCACAGGTAGGGATTATCCTCTACCCAAATCAGCCCCTTAGGTCACTGTCTGGCCCATCGAACAGCGCTGCCACAGCAAGTGAAGGGCAGAGGACAGAAGCTGTTAAAAGAAATGTTTATCCAAGCAAGGTCTAAGGGAGTTGGACTCTCAGATAAAGCCAATCTGTTTTGTCTCTAGCTGTCAGGAAGGAAAACAACATAGAGAAGGCACAGCTGGGGGTACTGCAGAGGAGACTACCCAAAAGTGTGTTTTCTGGTTCAGAAGAGGGTGCCTGGCCCCGCCTGCAGCAGTGGGAGCTTTCCTGGCCCTTGACACAGCAGCCACGCTCCCCCTGTCCCCCCAGGCTGGAGCTGCTGGCTCAGGCTCACCTGTCTGAGATGAGGGTGGCAAACGCGGCGTCCTTGGCTCGGATGCTCCAGGAGAGGGCAGAGCCCAGGCGGTTGTTCCGCAGAGCCTTCATG